CTTAATACTAAACCTATAAATGTAGGCTCATAGATCTATTTCCCCATCCTCATATAATATATTTGCATATGTACATGTCTTTATCTAGACCTCTATAAGTGCCCTTTGCCTCCCAGCTCGGGAAAGGTGGTTTTGTTGTTTCTTGGCTTAGAAATATCTCGGTCCTTGGCTTCCCAGAGAAAGTATTCACACCTAAGCCTGGTTTGTGATCCAAGTGGGTTTTTATAAAAGGATAGAAGAAGTTTCAGGTTTTACACTGGCACCCTCAGGGTTCTTCACACCCACGGGTGGAAACCTGAGGCCTGAGAAACCTGCAGACTGGTGGAGGAGCAGCTGGAAAAGAGGGCGGTGGGCTCAAAGTTTTTTGAGGGCTTTTCAGGGCCCTCCGTTGGGAGGTGTGGTTGACCCCATTGGCTGAATTAAGCCTCCCTGGCCTACATAGGGACCCTCCCAGGTGTACTGGCTTCCTGTCTCAAAGGCCTGAATTTGTGCATGCTCTCTAGCCTTTATAGCTGGCTATTCTCTGCAGCAACCTCCTGTAGGGCCCCTTGGCACAGAGAGGGACAACTCCCTATTTGAGTTCCTAACAGTTTGGTGGGAGTTAGAGGCTTTGGTTTAACCACTACCCATATAGTGGCAACTCCCAAATCTGTGTCTCTAGTGGATCCCTGGCCTCCATTTAAAACCTGTATATCTAGCTGCCAACTCGACATCCGGACTGACTTTTCAATTGGATGCTTCCAAAATTGTGTTCTTAGCCACACCCACTTTTCCTCTGCCCCTATTTCCTCGGATGGTTTCTACCATCACCCTATTCTCCCAGGACCTTGAACTACTGTTCCTAAACAATTCCTTTCTCTTCATGACTTTCAAAACCTAGGCATTTTGAGTTACATCCATTAGGTTTCTGTCTAATCTTTGTCCTTAGAGCCATTTCTTAGGCTTTGCCATTTCGTCATGACTAGTTTATTGCAGCATTGTGTTATCTAAATTAGTGTTCTATATTTTACTTTTTTGGATTCTAATGTTCACTATAATAGCCACACAGATCGCAGACAAAATATTTGATTAAGGGTTTACAAGTTGTAATGCCAGTGAGAAGGAAGCTAGGTAGCTGTTTACCAGGACATGTTACAAAGTTTCAGGTCTGCTAATAAATTGCCCCAAGGGCTGTATCACCATGTTGTAACCCTCAACCTGAAGGCATTAAGTTCAAGTTCTGTAAGTCAGCAAACCCAGCTCCCTGAATTAAGTGCCTGGGGCACCCCATTCCAGTAAACCTCCACCCAAAGGCATTCGGCTCAAATTGGTTAGGTCAGCAAGTCCCCCCAATTAAGTGCCCAGAGACACCCCATTCTGCCAGTCAGCCTCTTGCCCTAAAGCACGTCAGCCTTACCTTTTCCCATGGGTTGGAAAGTCCACCATCTTGCCCTGCGGTTGCTCCTCTGATGTCACAGCTGTTTTCTGGATCCAGGAGTTTCACTGCACAGTCTTGTCTGGCCTAGAGCATACATTCTGCTCCTGCCTCTTCCTGATAATGAGATCCCTCCTTCTGCTTCTCAGAGGGCTCATTGTATACACAGCAGGATGGCACTCCAGGGAATCCTGTTCACCATGACTCACAAATTAGTCCTATGGTTATCTCCCCCTACTTTATTACCCAGATGCAAGCAGGAAAAGGTTGGTGGGAGTTAGGGACTTTGGCTAGAAGGGCCACTTTAAATCATTAACTGTCAGTGCAAGCAGCCTCTTGGAGGTATGTTTCTGTTTTCTCATGTCCTGTATTTTACAACCAAGTTCGGCAACTTGAATTGTAAATCTGATATATTGCTCTTCTGCTTAAAATGTTTGTATCATTTCTCCTCGCCTTTAAACCTCCAAACCTTTCTTAGTATGATATAGAAGCCTTTTTGCCTCAATGTCTTTTACTTTAGCCATCCCAGTTTACCTTCCTTATTCTACCTCTTCTCACAAGCTTTCACTGTACTTGTACAGCGTTCACTGTGTCTGTGCTTTCCTTTGTGAGCGATGTTGCAGTGCTTTTGCACAGCTCCTGCCTGACATATGCTTCCCCCCTGACACCTCTTTGCCTGAATAGCGTTTACACATCACTTTAAGTAACTCAAATGTCACCTGCAGCAAGTCTTCCTTGATGACCCTTTTTTCCTAATCTTTGTGTAAGTGTCTGTTATATGCTCTTTGAGCAACATGCTTTTGACAGAATCTGTATTTTCAACTCCCTTTGCTCCTTCTAAAAGGAGCCCTGGTGGCATAGTGGTGAGCAGTTTGAAACCTTCAGTTTCTGCAGGAGAAGGGGGAGCTTTGTATTCTGTAAAGAGTTATAGTCTGGGGAACCCACAGTGCCGTTCTGCTCTGTCCTGTAGGGTGCTGTGAGTTGGCATTGACTCGATGGCAGGGAGTTTGGGTTTTCCTTCCTTGATGACAGTCTTTATTCCTGTGTCCAGTACTTGATTGAAGCATTTCAGAGACCCATTAAATATATAAGTCTATTCATATACATGGCTGACAGAACATTTTGTGCTTACAAATTAGATGCAAATAATATTTTAATTATCAAAATGGAATTCATATACCATTAAAATTCACAGTTTTTAATAGTGTGTGCTTCAGTAGGTTTTAGTCTTTGTCACAAGTTGTATAACTAGTGTTAGGAATTCCAGAATATGGTCATCTTTCCCCCAATTGTTACCCTCATTTACCATTTATCCTCTAGCCCATGTAAGTGTTCATTTATCCTTGTTCCACAACATGGATCACTCTTGAAGAAGGTGCTATGTGAAAGAAACCAGACTCAAAGAAGTCAGGCAAAAAAAAAAAAAAGAAGGCCACCGATTGCATGCTTCCATTTGTGTGAGTTGTCTACAGAAAGATAAATCCATAGAAGCTGAAAAGCAAACTAGAGGTGGCCAGGAGCTAGGGGAATGGAAGCATGGGGCGTGACCTAATATTAGATTGCTTTTTGGAATGATGGAAGTGTTCTCAAGTTAAGAGTAGTGATAGTTATATATCATTGTGAATAGACTTAAAACCACTAAACTATATATTTCAAGTTGCTGAATTTTATGCTCTATGGAGTATATCTCAATAAAAAATGGCGTATTTTATTTTTGAGTAGTTCACGTTTGTGCTGCGGTTGAAGATAGCTAGAAAGTATCCTGTTGGCCAGGGTGCCAGGACTTTGAGCACATTCATCTTTGTGGACAGGATCATGGGGGATGGGGGTGGGCATGTTTTGCTGTCTCAGCCCCTGCCCCTTTCCCTTCATGTCTATGGTGTTGTTGGTACACTGTAAAGTATCCTTCTTTTACACATGTAAAATTCAACAACCACTTGCTTTCAGATTTTATTGAACTTCTATTCTCATTGACCATTGTAGGATTGCTCATCAGATGTAGTTTTTTTCACTGTTATCACTTGTTTCAGATTAGGGACCCCTGAAACTTTCTTTAAAAGTATCTTTGAAGATGGATAAAATGAGACTTTGGATCTCCAAAATTCTGGTAATTCTAGTTTGAGTAGCTTTCTCAAAACACTAACTTTGGCATTTAAATAGTAATGCGTGAATTATGGGATTCAATGTTGGAACAATAAATAGCACATTTTTCCCCCCAAAGTTAATATTCTTGTTATTAAAGCACTCACCACTTAAGATTTATTTTTAGAAGACCTCTTTTTTTTTTTTTTTTGGATGCAGGTTGTAGTTGTAATGTGTGGTATTGTCAAAAGTGTGACATTGAATTATGTGGGAAAATGTAAGTTTTTTGTATTACTGGGTAAGTAATTCTCCTTAACAAAATTGAGTTATTTATCTGTCACTTATTATCTATTCAATTATAGCTAATTGAGACAAAAATAATTCTTCCTATAGCTTGTAGTGATTTTAAGTTCTGTTGATACAGAATCAGAACTAAGCTTATTGTGATGCTGGGTTTCACTCTATGATTCAGATAGAAAATTCTAAAACTTGAGTAGCCTAGGCTTCCTCCTGTGCTTATGAATTCAAATTCATATGTGGAGAGTTGGTAAAACAATGTTTTATGGTTTTGCTTTCTTTACAGACTGAGCAGTGGTCATGACTACTGAAGTAGGCCCCGAGTCTGAAGTGAAAAAGGAATCAGACAATTTAGGAGCAGACACAGCCAAGGAGAAACCTAAAGACGAAGGGAAAAATCAGGAGAATCAACCATCTGATCCAGAAGAGGGAAAAAGTTCCCAGTCACTTCCTTCAGCTGACCGCCGCCAAAGAAGTCCACGCCACCAGAAGAGAGAGAAGGATCCATCGGAGAGCAGGGGCATTTCCCGATTCATACCGCCATGGCTAAAGAAACAAAAGTCCTATAACTTGGTAGTGGCCAAAGATGGAGGAGATAAAAAAGAACCTACCCAAGCTGTTGTGGAGGAACAGATTGTAGACAAAGAGGAGGAGGACTCTCTTCCTGAAGAAGAGAGGCAGGCCAAGGGTGATGCTGAAGAAACAGCTCAAAGAAGGCAGCTGGAGGTTAAAGTTGAAGTCAAGGAAGACAAACCTTCCACGAGCGTTGCTGAGCCACAGGTGTGTTCGGGAAGTTGTTGTCTAGACATTAATGCTGAATGCAGAATCATGGAACAAAGGATATGCTTGCTTTGAATTATTTCCAAATTTCTTACATGGAAATGTGGTTTTTGCTTAATGTGTCTGGAGTAGAGGCCTTGGATTAATTTAATAAGCCTTCTCCTGTTGCTTTTTTCTTTTTCTTTTGATTTCCGAGGTGATAAATTAAAATTAAGAAAATCCTTTATATATGGAAACTATTAAAATCCTATTTTTGTTTTAGTGTTAAGAGATAGCATTTATTTTCTTTTTAAAAATAGTATTGTTGGCACATAATCACATAGCTTTCAATTTAATCTCCTGTTCGTGTTAAGAGTTGTGCAGTCCTCACCACAGTTGATTTCAGAAGATTTTCTTCTTACACTCATTGTTGTTAGCTCCCCATTTCCCTCCAGCCTTCCCTGCCAAGCCCCTAAGGTAATGATCATTCCATGTACTGTCTCTGTAGCTTTACCGATTCTGGATGTCATATATAGAATATCATTCAAAACACAGGCAAGAAGCAAACAACATCAACAGGACAAGAAACAATTAAATCCCAACAATGACAAAATGAAACAGAACAAAACCTCAATGGAAAAGAAAGCGGAAATAATTAAAAAGTGAAACAAGTTTAAAATGGGTCGGAAAAGGGATAGAATGGTACTACATTTTAATCTATCTACATGTCCCATGTTCTACCGTACAATGCTGTCTGTCAGCAGTGCTAGCCACACCCTTGCACTGTGGTCAGAGGGGAGTCACTGGAGGCTTAATCCGTGTAGGGACCCTGCAACTGGATTTTGAGCGTCCACTACCATCCATAATCTGCAAACTGGGTGTTCAAATCCCTCCTTCGGTTTTGGATTTTGTTACTCATAATCCTCGGATGACACATTTTAGTGTTCTTCCATGTAGACTGGGCAGATACCTCACTTATATGGCTGCTTGTTTAAAGACAAGCCTTTAAGATCTCAGACACTATTCCCTGTTAGCCGGGTACCAGCAGATAGCAATGAAAATATTCTTTTAAGCAGAATGCCCATTAACCTTCAATTTTACTTATTGACTTCAGTGAGCATTAAGAAGTAGGTTTGTTTGGGTGCATGGGTATGCATTTTGGTTTTGTAAAGAAGTCTAGATTTTATCATAGTTTGAGATGTAAAGTATATCATTATCTGCAATGATTTTTAAGTACATCTGCAGTGTACTTGCCCTCATGTAGTTTCCTTTAGCCATTTGATGCCCACAGTACCGAACTGACAATCTCCCCCCCACCAAAAAACAAACAAAAAATGTCTGGCAGTGGATCGAGGGAAGGAGGATGTGTGGAATATAGTCTTAAAGTGCGCCTTTCTAGCAAAATAATGAAGCCTTATAGTCTTAGAATTGTTAAATAAGTCAAATTTCTTTTTGAAAGTTTTCTTTTTAAAGACATTGTGGCTTGCAAATTGATTAATATTGACATGAGCCTGATACTTATGTTTCCTCCATAGCCTGTTAAAGAAGCAAGTAAGGAGCGAGAAGAAGAGAAGGAAGAAATCCAGGAAGAAAAGACAGAAGTAGCAGTAGCAAAAAGGGAGACTAAGGAAGTGCAGACCAATGAGCTACGAGCCGAGAAAGAATCTCAAAAAGCCACCAAGAAAGCCAAAACGGTTCAGTGTAGAGTGACCCTCCTGGATGGCACTGAGTACAGCTGTGACCTGGAGGTGAGTGGAGAGCTATTGTGATGTGTGGAGTGAAAGAAAACGTGCTCTCACTTACAGTGTGGCATCATGAAGTTTTTTATGTGTTATTGAATTCCTATAAGCTGCTTTGTTAAAATGTTGCATTAAGGTTAGAGAAAGAAAACTTAAAAGGGGGAGATCCTGGCCTATATAGTTAACCAGGGCTGATATTTTGCCAGTTGCCATTGGGTAAGTGTGCTGTTTGATGTCTGTTCTGAATGAGCATTAAGTTTTTTGAATGTTAACTTCTGGTCATAAATGTGTTTTACTTGTGAAGAAATGTTAGCACTCACTTGGTTGACATTTAAGAGCAGTCAAATTTAATCTGTAAGCATTAAATTTGGATGTCTTGTCCTAAGCCAGAAAATACCTTAAACACTAGATCATCAAAACATAGGTACTCTTATATTGATGCCAAGTTTAATTTTCAAAAGAGCCGCCAGCAACTTACATGAGTAAAAGATAATGGCATTTCTCCATGAAGTTTTCAACATACTAGAATCAACTATCAACTTAGTCATCTTGTTCATTACTGATACTCAAGCGAGGCAGTAGAATTTTTTTTTAAATTACAGAAAATGTGTCTGCTGGTGTGTTTGTAGAGAGAGCTTGCTGCTTGCCTACTATCCACAGTGGGGACACTCTTCAATGTTTGGGCTTCCTTCATTTCATTTTAGATTTCCAGGGTGCTGGGGTAGGTGGTATGGGGAGCTGTGTACAGAGAAAGACAAGGATCCCTTATCTTTTCTGCAGTCTTTAGAAACAGATTTTAAATTTATGGGCCTTTAAAATTTGAGCGATCTCAGCGAAAACCCTAGTAACCATGTCCTGGAGCTTGGCATAAATTAGGCAGTAGACTGTCTTTCTTCCCCTTTCCTTTATCACTTGGGCTCATAAATAGCTTCACTGTGTTGTTATATGCCCAAAGAATAGTTTTCTAATAAGTTTGTATATTCCTTACTTTTTAAATAAGAGATTTTGTATTTTTCTGTTTGTGAGTAGAACTGCCAAAAGAGATGGAAGGATCGTTAATGCTCCTTTTTTCCTAATACTCCCTGGGGGTTGGGAAAGGGGAGAAGATGGGAGACAAAGGAAGCAAGCTTGTGGGCATGGCATGTATGTGTGTTTGTGTGTCTGTCTGTCTGAGTGGTAGGGAACAATAATGAAAAGAATAGAGGCTGGACCTCTGGACATCATTGTTTTGAGAACAGCTTTTATGATAGCGTGCTCTGTGATCTCATCTTTGGTTCAACCTGACTAGGCTGCAGTTTCTTCATCTACCCAATCATAGGGCTCTATAGATGACTGAGAAGGCTTCTTTCACCTCTCAAATTCGTCAAACCATGAATCCTCAAGATTGACCAACATACTTTATGATGAAAGTGTTGTTTTCTACCATTCCTTTAAAATCAAGTCACGAAACATATAAAACCTAAAAAATATGTAGAAACAAAAGAAGAAACAATTTGTGTATCAACCATTTAAAAAAATCAAGGGTTAACATTTTGTCAGTGTCCCACGGGTTTTTATCCTAAAGATATATGAAGGGACTTCAAAAGTTCCTGGAAGAATTCTGTTGTCTCTTTAATTCTGTCATCCCATAAGCTTTTTGAAGCCTCCTTGGACTGCATGAAAGACATTGCTGAAGACTTACTCTTGTCTATATTTTTGCTCTGTCTCTTTTTACTACATGCTTGTTACCTGTTCATATTGTGTTAAAGATTTATTCGGGTTAATCTTTTTTCATTTTAACTGCTGGTGTGTAGTATTCCTTTGAAGGATAAACTATGGTTTATACAGTCTCCTACTGTGAGGAATAATTTCTTAATCTTAAAACTTACTGTAAATATATTTAATAACATTACCAATTTAACATTATTCACATCTAGAATTATAGTGATATCAATGACATGCATTCTCATCTAAGGCACAGTTTAAAAACCATATATTATACCAAAATAATTGGTTGATACTCAGTTCATTTCATGAGGGTAGCATCTGATCAAGATGCTATTGAAAAAAGTTCACGTTGCACTAAAAGCATTAGCAAAGAACAAGGTTACAGAAATTGCCAGAATAGTAACTGAGAAAGTTTCAACAAGCTGATGCAGCACTAGTAGCACTTAATTGTCACAGAAAAACCAAAATCCCTACCATTGAGTCCATGGTGACTCACACCGACCCCCTGTGGGTTGCTGAGACTGTACTGTTTTATGGGAGCACATACAGAGCCAGGCATTGTCCTTCAGTTTCTAACTGCCGACTGTGCAGATCATAACCCAACACGTAACCCGTAGGACTCCTACTCGTCTATACCAGGAAATTTGGGAGCAAGCTACCTGGTCATCTGACTGGAAGAGATCCATAATATCTAAGTAAATTTCATAAAGAACATATAACAACAATTGCAGCAGCCCATCGACAAGGAGCTGCCAGAAATTTAAACCCAATATAGTAGAGGAAATAAGATCTGGAATATCATTGGCGACATTAGATAGATGTTGGGGAAAGCGGAGAATACAAGAAGGATGTTTACTTGTGATTTATTGAGTAGGAAAAATATTGAAATGTCTGAATTATTATCCATATTATGGATAACATTACTTAAAAACAGGAAATCCAGAACACTGGTCCCTTCGACAGCTTGTGGTCACAGAGACTGGTGTGCTTCTTCCATGTGGGCTTTGTTGCTTCTGAGCTAGTTGGCCGCTTGTTTATTTTCAAGCCTTTAAGACCCCAGATGCTGTATCTTTTGATAGTGGGGCACCATCAGCTTTCTTCACCACATTTGCTTATGCACACGTTTGTCTTCAGTGATCATATTGGGAAGGTGGGCACCCACTGATAGGATTTTTAGTTCTTTGATGTCTGCTAACTGGTCCCTTCTCATATCGTGGTCAGACAGGCTGGTGTGCTTCTTCCATGTGGGCTTTGATGCTTCTCATCTAGATGGCCGCTTGTTTATCTTCAAGCCTTTAAGACCCCAGATGCTATGTCTTTTGATAGCCAGGCACCATTAGCTCTCTTCACCACATTTGCTTATGCACACATTTGTCTTCAATGATTTTGTCATTAAAGCGGGCACCCCGATATGATTTTCAGTCTTTTGATGTCTAATAACTGATCCCTTCTACATACCGTGGTCAGACAGGCTGGTATGCTTCTTCCATGTGGGCTTCGATGCTTCTCAGCTAGATGGCCACTTGTTTGTCTTCAAGCCTTTAAGACCCCAGACGTTATATCTTTTGGTAGCCAGGCACCATCAGCGTTCTTCACCACATTTGCTTACGTTCACATTTTTCTTCAGCAATCGTGTCGGGAAGGTGTGCATCCTAAAATGCCAATTTAATAGAACAACATGTTCTTGCATTAAGTGTTTGAGTGGAGGTCCAATGTCCATCTGCTGCCCTAATACTAAACCTATAAATATATGCACGTAGATCTGTTTCCCCACACTCTTATATAAGTATATTTACATATGCACATTCCAGTCTTAAAACCTCTAGAAATACCCTTTGTCCCCTAGTTCCTTCCTCTATTTCCCTTTACTTTCCTCTTGTCCCACTATCATGCTCAGCCTTCATTTGGGTTTCAGTGATTTCTCTCGGTTACATTGCCCTTGCTGAATCCCTACCAGGCCTCTCACACCCTCCTTGCTATTGATTTTGGATCACTTGTTGCTCCCCTGTCTCTGGTTTGGTCAGCACCACCTCCTTATCCCCGCTCCCCCAGTTTGGGAGTTTTAAATCAGCAAAGGTGCTTGCCAATTTGTATCCCGTCACCATAATTTGTGTCCCGTCACCATAATTTGTGTGCTAAGCAAATAAAATGAAAAGTTCGACTATATGAAGTAGAATGTGGCATCAGGAATGGAGGAAGACCTATTAACAACCTTCAATATTCTGATGACCACAGCCTTACTTGCTGAAAGCTAGGAAGAACTCAGAGCAGTTGCTGATGAAAAGTAAACATTTCAGCCGACAGTGTAGATTGCTACTGAATGAAAAGAGAAGAGGAAGAAATCCTCTTAACTAGACCAGTCGATTAGCGAACAATAGATTGAAGTGGTCAAGGCTTTCATTTTATTTGTATCCACAATCAATGCTCATGGACTAACACTCAGGAAATCAAATTATGTATTTTATCACTTACAATGTTAAAGAGCACAGATGGCACTTAAAAGACTAAGGTGTTCTTGATACAAGCCATAGTATTTTCAGTCTCCTTATATACATATGAAATCTGGACAGCACATTAGAAACTAGAAGAATTGATGCATTGGTGTTGGCTAAGAATATTTGGAGTTACAGATAAATAAATCTTGGAAGAAGTACAGCCAGTATGCTCTTTTAGAAGAGGTAATGGGATATTACCATTTAAAAAAAAAATAGCTTAAATTGGCTTTATTTCCTTTCCTCTATTGTTAATCCTATAGAAATCACTCTAAAGTGTTTTATAGATACACTTGGCTTAAGAAAGTCTAATATTAATCAGTATGCTGCATCCCTTTTTTCTCATCTTGTTAGCATTCTTAGATGTCTATCTCCATTTCAAATGTTACCAAACAAAGCAATTGCATATCAATGCAACTAGCCATTCTTTTATCATTCTATTCATGGGAACCAACTTGACTGTGCTAACGTCTAGAGCAGTAGGTTAAGAGTAGCAATTTATTCCTTTAACTTGCCAAGAATTCAGTTGGATGGAACAACATGTTAGTTGCTGTTGAGACAATCCTGGGAAAGCATGGGCATATTTATTTTTATGAACTGCATTCTGTATATTAATTTATAACCAGAGTGTCTTTTTAGCTAATAAATGTCTAGTACACTATTATAGGAATGAATCGAGGGTAGTAGATATGAAATCAGTTTGTTGAGTTAACCCATTTTCCTCTGTCTAGTACGGTGCTCTGGTGGTGGTGTGGGTGCAGTTCTACTTTGTCTTATAAGGTGTTATGAGACAGACTTGACAGCAGTGAG